TATGTATGTATGTATGTATGTAGTCCTATGTGCAACAACAAATCATACCAAGCAACGGACCAAGAAATCACCACATGGATCCGAAGCACCCGATAACAAGTACGATTTAGGGCTTAAGGTTTAGGCTTCGGGGTAACAGTAATTAAGGTTGAGTTTGGAGTTGCACTCCCTAAACTCTAAACTCTCACCCTACGACAGGGACTTTGCTGATTATAGTTTTTCGTGGGGTGTTGTCGTAAAGTTGTACAGCGACTTTGGGGTGACGTTACAAGCATTTCCGTCCTCTATTCTATCCTAAGCCCCGAAAAAACAACAACCCTGAACCCTAAACTTCCTAAGCCCTTAGCCACAAACGGCTGTCCTAGCAGCCCATGCCAGCGCCGGGATTTCATCCTGAGCACACTGGGCTGACATGGGTTTAGGCTAGGGTTTTGGGAAAGTTGTGCGGCTGCAAAACTTAAAGCATCGACCACCTATGTCCACAAACCCTTGCCTAAACATGCCGTCTTCCAAGGCCCCCCAAACCCCAAGGCGCTAGGCCCTACTCCCTTAAACTCTTAAACCCTGAAACAGGGCCCCAAGGACTGAAACTCTGACGAAAGACTCATGACACGCCTATACTTACGGGGTCTTAAGTTCTAGGGCGTCGGGTTTAGGGCAGTCGCAACGTACCATTTAGTAGGGCTTGGAGCTACGGGCAAACCTATCACGCAGCGACAGAATTGACACGTTGCGCCAGCAAAAGGTGACTCTAAACCCTAAACCCTACAAAAGTCAAAAGCCATGACCTGCCATAAAAATCCAAAAGCCCCAGCTCGCAGTCCCGGCCTAGAGCTGCAAACCATCAAGCCGTACGTCCTCTACCCTAAAGCCCCTTAACCCTAAACCCTAAAGCCTAAACCCCCTAAACCCTAAAGCCCCTTAAACCTAAACCCTAAAGTTCCAAACACTTAAGAATGACATTCTTCAAGCCAAAAAGGCAACACGATTCACCCCTGAAGTGCGGAACCCGAAAAGCCTAAACAACGCAGCGCACCTCGGAGTTGTCAAGAGGAAGAAGTGGCTCTAAGACCTGGGGACTCAATGATCAAGGACCACAAAAGGTGGGATGAAGGTCGCAACAGTGAACCCTAGCTGGTGGGAGATCGGTTCCCTCATCCAAGGTCTCCTCTTTGGGATTCCCTACCTATATCACCTTCCTCCCACATTTTGAGCTCTTAGAGATGAACGTAACGGCAGGTTCGTTGTTGAATCGGCTTTCGAGGTCCTACCTAAGGGTCCATGTACTGAAATAGTAGATACTTTGGCGCCGAAGTACCCAAATAGGGACTACTTTAATTAAGGCCAAAGTATCTACTATTTGGGTACATGGACCCTTAGGGAGAGTTTACCCAGTCAGGGCTTTAGGTTCGCAGCGTTCAATTTTTCAGGCGTAGGGTTCGGGACTGGTTTCAGAGTGTGTGGTTTGATATAGGGGCCTTCATAATTAGCGTAGGGTTTTGGGGGTTCCTTATTATAGCTGTCGTATAATATACCCCAAAGCCTATTCCAATTATAAGGCCCCTATATTACAGCTTTATCTGGGGTTTTGGGGAAAGGGCTCTTCCCGAAGCTTTAGCAGTACTGGTTCAATGCTTCTGCGATCTCTTTGAAGTCCGTTACCCACGATGCTGCGTTCTTTTTCAACCCAAAACCCAAAAGCCGTATTCAGAAAAGGGAGAGGTATTCTATATATCCAACAGGTCCAAATATCTAGCCAAATATCGACACCGATGTAGACTTTATGTAGACACATGTCCATCTATTTCCGCATGTCTCCGGTTCAGTACTGTGCGCAGCTATACAACACAAACCAAGATACCAAACAGCTTGGCGTTATTGGAGCTTGAGTGATGGAAGGCGCTTGATATAGGGGCCTTGATAACTACCTATACTACTTTAGGGATTCTTTCATATAGTTATAGTATAACCAATTATTAGCTCCCCTACCGTGAGCTTGGAGGCTGTTAGGCCAGTTTGATTGTTGTGCTTACCCTAAGGGTCTGGGTCCTCTGGCGCTCAAATGCATAAACAACTGGGGAGTACTGTTAAGGCCACTGTTAATTTTATTAACATGTGTATACATGGACCCTTCGGGTTGTTATGCTTATGAAGGAACCCTACACCCTAAATCCTAAACCGCTTGAAGGAACCCTTTCAAGGAACCCCTAAGGCTTGGACTTGACCGAAACTTCCGCTGAGGTCCAGGCATCCGCTGCTGTGACTTCTGGCTCTTCCTTCGCGCCTGGGGTGTTATAGGGCTCTACCAGGGATTCTACACCCTAAACCCCAAGCCCGAAACCCTGAGCCCTAAACCCAAAGCCCTATACCCTAAATCCTAAGCCCTAAACCCAAAACCCTAAGCCCCAAACCCTAAATCCTAAGCCCTAACCCCTTATAAACCCTAAACCCTAAGCCCTAAACCCTAAACTCCTGAGATGTTCGGGCTTCCTTAAGGGCTCCTTCAGGCCCTAAACCCTCTACGCCAACGGGCTCATTTTAGGGTAGGGTTTAGGGTTTGGGTTTAGGCTTTAGGCTTTAGGGTAATTACCGGGTTTAGGGTTTGCTCCTCTCTGGGATCTATGAGCGCTAAGGTTTGGAGGCGCTTGTTTGGAAGGTGGCTTGTTGTTTGGCTTTTTTAAACAGGTCTTCAAGGGATGCAGAAGGGGTTTACATGGGTTTCATATGGCTTCTGTAGGCCCATTTTGGGAGGGGATGAACCCATCAGGGTTTAAGGGTTGTAGGGTTTAGGAATAAATTTTCAGACTTCAGGAGTTTTCCTAGTGAACGAACAGTGCGCCAGTATTCTGACATTAATAAGCCCTCGGTTTGAGGATTGAAACCGTTAACCTCAAGGAATATACGTTCTCCTAGAATCCAGCGCATGCTCCTTGTCATCCTTGTCAGGTGCTTAGATTTGCCTTGACACCCCGTCACCAAATTTTGGCAACCCAATGCTGTTCAGCATTTGCTGACTGGGGAGGTCTTTCCAAGTCGTGCGATTTGGGTGAAGGCATTCGAGGCCGAATCCGACTTCTGCGAGGTACGAATGTGCCTGTTCGTGCGTTCTGAAGTACTGCGCCGCAGCGTCGGCACCGTGTATTTCCAACACGGCTCCATTCCCTGACTAGAATGCATTTGGCCGTCTGAAAGAGGCGTCTGTGCCGATCCCTGAAACCTCGCTCTCAAAACCAGAGGCGAACACGGTTGCCAGCAGTTCCAATTGGGTTCCAAAGCTCCTTCGTCAAGCATTCACCCTTTTCGTCAAACGGGTTCCCTGCATGCTGGCTCAGCAGCATCATGGCAGCACGCTTTCCCGATGCACTGGTTGTGTGGAGATCTCTCGACGAGCCGTCACGGCAATGCAGCCTCTTGCGTGACGCGTGGATAGGAGACAAGACCAGGGCAGCTTGCATGACCTTGGGATCGCGACTCAACTCTTCAAAACTTGCACATGCCAGAATGCGAGAGCCAAGAGCTGCAGTTGCACGAGGGTCAGATGCGTCCGAGGCATGGTATGCTCTTGCTTGAGCATATTTAGGCCGCCATAGCATTCCACTGTCATGGGATTATTGCAAAGGTATCCTAAATGCCCTAAACCCTAAACCCTAAACCCCCCAATCCCAAACACAGAATCGGGAAGGCCCAACACAACCAACCAGCTTCAGCACTTAGAGCTGCAACCCTAAACCCTATAAACCATAAAGCCCATAAACCCGAAGCTCGAACCCTGAACCCCATACCTATAAATCCTAAACCCTAAACCTATAAACCTGAACCCTATCAACCCTAAATCCTTCAGGCCCCAAAACCCTGAAACCTGTAGCACCGATCTGGGCCCCGGGGCGGAGCAGCTGGCGCTTTAGCAAGCCCGGCCACGTCGCGCGGCTTCCACCAGTGCCGCCGAAGCCTTCCGCAGAGAGGACCTGGGTCAATTAGGTCTTGGGCTTTAGGGTTTAGGGTTAAGGCTTCTAGGAAACCTTGAGTGAGGCTGATTCTTCGGCCGGCAGACGGTGGCATACAGCGCCGGCTTTGTGACTACAATTGCGGGGCTTCTGGACGAAGAGGGCATCCCGGGAAAAAACCGAGAATCTCAGGGAGCCCACAACTCCCTGGCAAAGACTTGACTCAACATTGGTACTAGACTAGGAGAAGCACGAACACCCAAGCCCTACTTGGAGGTTCCTGGGCCTTGTGGCTATAAGTACTTCAACTGGGGTTATAGCCGATTATAAAATATGCTACCGTATTTATAACCCTAGTTATTAAGTCCCACGAACATTTAAGTAAACCTCTTTCAACCCTATAGAAAGAAGGCCTTCGGCTTCCCGATGTAGTAAGTCTAGGAACCTGAAGAACCCTAAACCCTCTCACCCTAAAGCGGTTTAGGGTTTAGGGTTTAGGGTTTAGGGCCTAAACCTCTAAACCCTAAACTTTCCAGGAACCTGGCAGCGAAACTCTGCTCCTGCACCCCCAGATTTTGTCGGGTCTTGTCTTCGCGAAGCTTAGCGAGAACCAGCGGTTTGTTTTGTAAGCCGCCTACAATTGTAAACATTACGCCCTAAACCTTTTAAAGCCTTAATCCCCTAAACTTGGGATAAGACCCTTACAATCAATCCTGTTGCAGGCTGTCGCCATCACTTGCAAAGTGATCCCTGGCGCAAGGATCGACAAACAAGTTCCCAAACGGAAAACCCTGAACCCTAAACCCTAAACCCCCTGAACCCCTAAACCCTAAACCCTGAACACCCTGAACCCTCAACCCTGTTTCTCATAATGTAGGAGCCTCAATAATTAGAATAGGGTTTTGGGGTCCTTCACTTTATAATAATAATAAACCCCAATTATTGAGGCCCCTACATTACGATTCAACAGCCCGAAAGCTCTTCTCCACTCCGATGGTCTGACAAGCCCTGATTGCAGCCCCAGGCCGTACTAGTACAAAATGCGAGCAGCGTAGCCCTAAACCCTAAACCCTAAACCGTGTAGGTTTAGGGCTTAGGGTTTAGGGATTTAGGGTTAAGGGTGTAGGAGCCTTGGGGTTCTTTGTCAAGGGATCTAGTAGGCTTCGGGCAACGAAAAAGGATGTAGAATAGGATCTTTCATAGTTAGGATAGGGGTTTCCGAGCCCCCTTATAAGTATGTATGTGTGTATGTATATATATATATATATATGTATAATATAGTTTTGTTTTTTTAGAAAGCCCTATGGAATAATACTTTCAGGTTTAGGGCTCACGGCTTAGGGTTCAGATGAGGTTTAGGATTTAGGATTTCGGGTTCAGGTAACGTGAACCCTTCAACGGAGGTACTGCAGGGGCCTGAATAATCAGAACAAGGTCTTGGGGTATATTACAGTCCAGATATGTCTACATACATCCCATCCACAAACTATCTATGTGTCTATACATATATATATATATGCATATCCCACACGGCTATATACTTACTATATACATATACTATGTACTATATACTAGCTACACCTATCTACTTAACATACTACATACCATGTACTGTATATAACCATGTATGCTTAGGGCTTAGGGAACCCAAGGCTTGAAACTCTCCGAGCCCCCTGCCACCACTCGAGGGCGCAGCGCCAGCGAAGCGGATTCGGCTGGCGGCGCCGAGGGCATCACCTCACTGGGCGCGGCTGATAGGGATTGGGTTTAGGGTTTCGGGTTTAGGCTTTAGACTTTTTTGGGGGCATTCGGGGGAATGGTTTAGGATTGTAGAACTTTCCCTAGTAAGTTCCCTAAGGGTCCATGTACTTATATAGAAGGTACTTGGGCCCTAAAGTTCCTAAATAGGGTCTAGTTTCAGGCCAAAGTATATACTGCTTGGGAAATTATAGCGGCCGTAATAATTAGAACAGGGTTTTGGGGTAGAATAAGGCACCCTCGAAATATTATAGGTAACTATTTAGCCCCATATATTACAATATATTAGATGGACCCTTAGGGTTAGGCTTGTAGCCTGAGCTCGGGCCCTGAGGCTTCGAGGCATGATCTGTGCGGAAACTGCGGGCAAATTGCCGGAGGCCGCAGCCTGTTAGGGCTTAGGGTTTGGAGTCTAGAGTTTAGGGTTTAGAGTCTAGGGTTTAGAGTTTAGGGTCTAGGGCTTAGGGTTTAGAGTTTAGGGTTTTAGGGCTCCTCCCGTAAATGCTGACATCTGGTACTCCATGATAACTTAGGCCTATCTGCAGAGCAATCGGGATTAAAAGTTTTTACTGGATCTTGCGAAACGCTTCAGACGAAACGCCATCGGTCAAGACATTCGCGGTTCAGGCGCTAGTGCTTGATTGATATTGCGTCGTGCAGCCATGGCGTTTAGCTCTAGCGGCAAATATGGCAAACATGCTAACAGAGCAATCACGAAAACTGCTGGTTCGATGAGGCTGTTCCCGTAAGAGTCCTAGCAAAACGGCGCAACCTACAAACATAATCATGACAGCGGCTGTCGGTGCCCTAGGTCGTCGTAGGCATGATGGCAGCAACGACCTAAAACAGCGAGAGGTAGTAGCAGTAGAAGTAGTTGTAGTTGTAGTTGTAGTTGTAGTTGTAGTTGTAGTTGTAGTTGTAGTTGTAGTAGTAGTAGTAGTAGTAGTAGTAGTAGTAGCAGTAGCAGCTGTAGCACTAGCACTGGCAGTACCAGCAGCGCTACAGC